GACAATCTACACAGTCAGGTGAGTATTCATGAGACTTTAACTGGGATGCATGCTTATGTACAAATTATTTGAGCATTACGATATATTTTTTTATGTACATGTTTATGGGTTTATTACATGTATATGAATTATTATTGTGGGTTGCATGCTATTTGTTTACATTTTTTTAAACATCAATTAGCATGTTATAAAAGAATTTATATTTTTGTCGAGTATGGAAAGGGGTCAAAAGTCATAAGAGATGACACATCCTAGGAAGGGGTAACCGGACAAGGGATAACCGTGTAACCCGGGGAAGTGCCGATGACGGTAAGACCTTAACCCGACGGGAAATTAAGAAATCTCATTATTATTTCAAAAGGGTTTGAAACAAATGTGCATGTTATTTTATTTGGGGTATTGTTTATTTTATGCATGATGTAATATGTATGATTGTGCATAAATACCATGAACTCACCGATCTTTATAAAACTGACTATTAGTATGCATCTCAGGAGTTGGGTATTCAAGAACGGAAAAGGGCAAATATTCTGCGTAGGAAATAGAACTTTTATTCGAGTTATGAATTATAAAATCCGTAGTATTTTAATTGAATTTATATGTAATGTAACCCGATATGGGATGAGTTAGTTTTGAGATATTATTTACGATTAAATTATTGTAAGACTTCTGCTGCAATAAAGCTTTATTAGTCACTAGAATTTTGATTTTATTTTATCTTATTACGTGAGACCTTGTATTTGAAATGAGGGTGTTACATGACCATATTACCCTTAAATGTTGTTAAATGTTATTTTATATCATATAATGATTGTAAAATGACAATAAATCAACCAAAATATATTTTAATTATATAGTTTTTGTAATCAAGTTTAATACATTAAATATAAATCCAAAAAATTGACAAAAGGGTGTTGACGAGCCAGCCACAATCAATTCCAATTCCAATCAATCACCAAAATAATAGTAAGAAATAAGGTCATAGAATTATTCTTCTAAGTCCAAAAGATTACCAATATGACAAAAAGAAAAGAAATCGTGATAAGAGTGGAATGTAGTAAGCAAAACTTTCTCCGTAAACTTAAAATGCATATCAATGTCGAAGTTAAAATCAATTCCTATGGCATTCAAAGTCAAAGTGCAGCTAGTTTTCGTAACACATGGAGCAATCAGGATTTCAATTAATACACCGGCAAATCAAATACTACATAATCAGCCAATTTAAATTCCTAAAAGAGATGAGAATTGAAATGTACCTTGCGTGGAAAGAAACCTGAGGAGACTTCCTTTAGTGCCTTCATTTAGCTAGAATTTCAATCAAAACTTCGATTACAACTGCTAAACTGTGAAAAATTAAAGCATGATCATGAAGTAATAAATAATGATTGAATAGATAAAGCAAATTGAACCTGATGATGAATAGGAGGGTAATTGGAAGAGTAAGGTCTAGAAGCGTGATGACGAGTCTCGTAGAGAACTTGAGAAACGCTTCTTCCTTCTTCCTAGATCTCCATTGTTAGACGATATGGACAACTTGCTACTGCTACTTTTGCTCTACAGAAACAAAGTATGGTGGTTTCCCACAGGAGATCTCACGAGAAATGGAGGCAAAGAAATCGCACGCATGCAAAGAAACAAGAGGGAGAAATGGAGAAATCGTACCGATTGCAGAGGAGAGGAGGCGATGAGAGGCGATGGAGGCCGATGGAAGAAGACGATGGAAGGAGGCGATGTGGAAGATTGAGTACGTGATGAAGGAGGCTGCACAAAGCAGGTTTCCCCTCAGAATGTTCACCTGTAACAAGAGAAAGATCCCTGTCTATCACAGGGGTATCCGTATACTGTGACCCTACTTCCGAGTTAGAAGGGCCTTCACCCCGCGGGACCAAAGAAGAAGCTGACAACTCACCCTGACTGTTGAAGGCTAG